GCTGTCTAATGGAGTTAAACAGCTTACTGCACCTAGTGAAGAGAAAAGCAATTTACAGATGCCCGTGTAGCTAACTATGGATGGTCTCATAGAGCTTAAGTGAGATTGCTCTTTTTGAACAGACATCGCTCTGAGTTGTGATGGAAATACCTTAAAAGAAACATTCAGAAGGTCACATGATCAACAGCAAATGTAAAAAGTGTCCAGCTGGCACACTCTCCATCTGACACAAGTTTGTGTCTAGGGGGTTTCCGTGTCCTATATGTCAGGCGGGCTTTAAATCATATTTGTGGGTGTCTTTATGAACAGCTCAGCAATATGAGGAGTGCTTCAGAGAGGTCTCTGGACAAACAGCTGGGAATGGGGTGTGTTTGGCCTCAAGCATTTTCAATGTAATCAAGTTTTCTAAGCAGACACACTCTTATCTGTGGTGGGTTATGTTTCCTACCTGAGGCTGTTGTACCCTTGTCACTTTTTCCTTATTGCACATCATGTTTTCCTGACTTATTGCATGTTCATTCAAAAATGGAGCTGGGATGTAATTGTTTTATACACAATAAATCTGTCAAAGTCATAGTAACGTTTAATACTATAATAGTAAATGTTTAGTTATCTATTCAGTTCTCTATTTAACATAACGTCAAATAAAAAATATATATAAAAAACCTTTTTATTTTAGCAAAATGGCAAAGAAATAATTCTCATTTTATAATTAAAACTAACTGATTAAAAACATAATTTGCACAAAAAAAACAATTATAAAAATGCTAAAAAATTACAACAAAACGGATAATTAAAATACAATACAAAACAAAATGTTATTGTCAGACTTGCATTTGAAATTTTACTTGCATAACAGCATGATAAATACTCCTTACAAAGAAACAAAGACATACAACAAATATATATATATATATATATATATATATATATATATATATATATATATATATATATATATATATATATATATATATATATATAATTTTTTGTTTGTTTAACAGAGCAAGAATTTTCAAAGTATGTCTGATAATATTTTATCTTCTGGAGAAAGTCTTATTTGTTTTATTTCATCTATCAGTTTTTAATTTTTTTTAAAAATCAGTTTTTAATTTTTTTTAAAAATTAGTTTAATTTTTTTAATAATTGAGGAGGGCTAATCATTTTGACTTTAACTGTATAATTGATTTTACACGCACCTTATTTAGCTCCAAGACAGCCTGCATGTACAAATGACTTTTTTAATTTCACTTTATTAGAAATATGTGACTTTAAATTGACAGTTAAACTTTAATGGTATAAATTCATGATTCAAAACATGATTAGGGTTCGAAATGATGCTCCTTGCCATCCTTGTGAGGTTCTTGTAATAATCAACTTTGTGTTTACACTCACAGACAGACTCACAGAATTACAACACTGCAGAACATTAAAAAATGTTCAAGAATATTTTTTCGATGCTTCAAAAGACCTAAGATGATGAAAAAAATATGTTTTATCTTGTTACACACATTATCCTGTGTCTTACTAGACAGAAAATTGTTGTAGAGAAAAATTTGTGTTTAATTTCTGAATATTTATAAATATTGGAGTAAGTTAATATCTTTTCAGTTCCTTTAACAAACACTCACTGCATTTTAGCAGTTGGAAGCTATAATACAGAATATTGAACTGAAGTTAGACTACAAAATTAAACTGCAAATCAAATTGAAATCGCAATATCTGTTAAAAAATGCAATTAAATATTTTCCACAAATCGCAGAGAATTATTATTATTTTTTTTAGCATTTCAACAATTTTTAAGTTAAAATTATATTAATATATAATATATTTAGCTACATCATCTGCCATACAAACAGAGCAGATTGATAATCGCTAATCGAAGTGGATGAATGCCATGCATGCAAAAGTTAGTCAAGTTTTAAACCTGAAATATATTCACCATATAGTGACCACACCCATGTAAGGAATGACATCTCGATACCACATCCTCTGCAGTCACAACCACTGCACTTGATGAGGGGGTGAACAAGGCGCAAGCTTGCAAAGATCACAAAGTCTATATAGTTACTAGAAAGATTCCAGTATGTGAATTCAGCAAAGATTACACATTTGATGCACTGTTGTCAATGATGTTCCACTTTAGATAAAAGCATCTGCTAAATGACTAAATGCACTTTTAAAGGTCTTCAAGGAGTGTTAAAAGAAACCATTGGACCTCTGAACAACACCTCCACAGCTGATATCTATCTTCATTTCATACTTGGCATTACTGGAGTGTGCGAGTCAAAATAAAAAAAACTGCTTACAGTTAAACAGTCATCGTAGGGTTTCACAACATTCAGATCTGATCAAACAATTTCAGTCACAAGGTTTGTTTTATAAACATCTGACTGGCATACTTTCTTTATATGAAGTACAGTACTTTTTGAATGAATTCCATCAATGATATTTATTCAGTACTACAGACAGATGAGTATAAAAAAGTAAACTGTTTTGAATGCAGTGTGAGAAAGTGAGGCAAGTGTTTCACTGCAGTAATGCAACACTTCTGTGTTCCAGGTCAACATGCCACATTGGAAATAGGAATCTGGATTGTGTGACGTTACAAGAGGACAAGCCCCTGGGTATTTCCCTGATCTGGTGCTGTCCATCAGCACCTAAAGACATATCACATTTTCTGCTTCTCTGATGTTTATTGAACTCACAACACAGTCTCATTTGATTTAGGTCCTACTTTTAACTAATATTAAGGGCGTACTCACACTATGTCCAGTTGCCTTGAACCGGGCCAAAGCACGCTTGTCCCCCCTCCAGTCTCCTTCGACGGCCCGCACTCACATTACATTTGGGACTGGGCACGCTTACGATGCTGCGCTGTTCAGAAGTGCTCTCGCTCAGCACAGTGGAGGTTTCTTTAGGTTTATCATTTAAGTCATGCAGTGACACACAGTCAAATATTTTGCCGAACAGATCAGCCACTTTTGACGCTCATAAACAATCATAAAGTCCTCGTGTTGCAGGAATTAGGAAGTTTTCTGAAGGTGCAGCTGTCGTGCAGTGAGGGGTTTGCGTCTTTAATAAACTACAACGTTTTGCGTTCATTCAACAGTAAGAGTGATAATTTAATCCTTATGAAACAGTCCTTTAAAAGTCATGTCTCGCTTTCAGTTTCGGGCTTAGGCGCGGTTTCCACTCACACGCAAGCGTACAGCACCAAAGCCCAAGTAACTGTGCTCTGGCCCACCTCTTCCAACCGGGCCAGGGGCGGCCAGGTGAACCGCACCTGAGCCAGATTCAGAGCACTCACAATTCTCAAATCATCCGGGAAATGGGCCTGGGCACGGTTCGGATAGCATAGTGTGAGTACGCCCTAAATTAATAGTTCTCCCTAAAAATGGAATTTCTGTCATGATTTGCTCACCCTTGAATTGTTCCAAACCCATTTGACTATTTTTTTTTCAAAATAAGATAAGGTGAAGAATATTGGAAACATGTATCCACTGAATTCTATAGTATAGCACTAGGCATATCAATGGTTGTGGGTTTCCAACATTCTTTACTAAATCTTATGTTGTGTTCAACAAAACAAAAAAACACTCACATTGGTTTGGAACAAGTCAAGGGAAAGCAAATGATGACAGAATTTTCATTTTTGAGTGAACTATGCTTTTAAAAAGTGTTTTGGTTGTTCAGAAAAGATGAAGGAAATATTTTAATGTCTTTCGTGTTCACTTTTGACCACTTTCAACATTAGGGAAGGGTGTCTGGGTAGGTGTATTTATAAGCCTTTTCTGATCTTTCAAGCTAACACTGTGCATGCAATTGAAAATTGAAGGTTTTCCTCAGACAGCACAAAACGATGTGGGTTAACCCAACATCAACATATGGCTAACAGCACACAGAGACAAGAATGTATGTTCTGTTTTTATGTACTTATGCTCATCACAGAGGAATTCCCTTGTGCAATTATGTCTGACAGTATGGTAATTCATATAGTTTTCAAACATTTAAACAAAATAACAGTGTGTCACTTTATTTTTTGTTTTTGCGCTCTGATTCGTGGTTGAACAGCCAATCAGATTGCTCTCATTCACCAACGGCTGACACCAATTCTACATGGTAAATCAGGCAAACTTCCTTCGACGTGAGCCCAACAGGAGGTGATGTGTGGAAAACAGCAAGCAAACTAGCCTGCCAGACACTGTCAGCTTTGTATCTCAGCCTTTAGAATCAGGACTGATTAGATTGCATTGGTTTTCACTTGATTTTTCATACAAAGTTTAAAATCTGTCTGGCTAGAATGCTTAGCACATCCCTTGCCATGTAAGATTCAGACAAGTCAAGTAGGCAGATTTAAAGAGGTATTGTGTGCCCGTTTGAATGCATCTCACCACAGGAGTGTCTACTCTACAAAAGCAATCTGGTCAGATCTGTTTTTGACAACCTCTGGAGGTGGTTAACAGCTGACAAGCTCAAAATGATTCATCCACTGTTTACACCTGTAATTAGCATTGTCCACTTGAGACTAGACTGCCAAAAATATGTCTTAATATCAGATGGAAACTAGATGTGACCTCTTGAAGCCATAGAAAAGCTCAGATTTTCATGTTGAAGCGCATGCCTAAGCAGAGAGTATATGCTGAAATTACACTACACAATCCTATAATTAGGATGACATGACTAGCTTTTGCATAGTTCTTACTGTAATTTGGTGTCCTATGTGGATAAATTTACATTTTATTTTTGGGAACGAACTAGCAATTAGTGACATGAAGCTGCAGGCAGAAGTAGCCAGAAACACTCAAGCATAACTTTCCCATAATTGTGCTGTCAGCCCATATATTCATATCGGCAACTTTTCTTTATTGGCTCTTCAAATTAAATATGACTTGAAACATCGACCATCTTCTACAGATCCCTCAAGTGCACAGATTCTGTGTCACTTCAAAAAACCATGTCAAGAAAATCCACAATTGTGATGCAAATGAAATGCTCACCCAGATATTCCATCAGCTGCTCTGCCGTTATCATTTCCATCATTGGTGGCAGCTTAACCTGTGTCAGAAACAGAGAGAAATTGTTTTAAAACCAGGTTAAATGACAAACGGCACATGGCCATATATGAGACATCTTTTCCTTGGAAAATGATGTTATATAACAGACTTACACATAAGGCTGTGTATATGAGCTGCTGTATCAGCTAAAATGCACTACGAGAAGAGAAAGACTAAGAAAAAACATCTTAAAAACAGCATGAATGTGGCTATCATCTCCAGAAGATGCCAGTGGCTTTTAAAGCTGAAAAACATAGTGCCTCTTTTTTTCAAGATGAAAGACTGAGCACTGAAATAGCGCCTCATGTGCCTGCCAACTCACTGTCATAGCCAATAATTAAATGTCATCTTTATAATGCAAATGAGTCCAGGGCTGAAAGCCAGAAGTTATTGGTGTCTGTAAAATGACTGTTTAGGACCAAACAAAAATACTGTTATGCATCTAAAATTCACAACAAAGTGGATGCTGTTTAAAAATCTGGAGGAGAGAAATAATCTGAAAATAAAAACACAAAATGATCACTAATTTTGCGCAAAACATTATTATTAAACACATTTTTATAATAATAAAATTATTTATTTATTTTAAAAAGCATGTTTCATCTCTGCAAATTTCTTTTGTTTGCTTCTTTTATTGGCTACAGATTTGCATAAATAAAAAGCAATGATTAACCCTAATGTGCTGTTGGGGATGTTTTCATCCACTCTGAGGTGATTTTGTGTCTTTATTTGGCCATATCCTTTTCTGTGTTTCAGCTAGCAGAATGATTTTTGTTGTCAAATCTTATTTTGACACATATTTTGAGAAAATGCTTTGAATTATAAACAAAATTTAACAATACACTCTGGGCAAATTGATTAGCCTTTTTGTTATGTTTGGGATAAAACTGCTGTAAAAATGCATCAGATAGAATTTTTTTTCATTTCGCTTGGCATTAATCTATCAGTCTTGATCAAAACTACTAAATTGTTAAGAAAATTACAGGATTTTAACTCTTTAATTGCCAAATTCATAAATAATGTCACTGGTTTCACACAAAAAATGTTGTATTTTTACTATAAACTGGTATCGTGGACTGGATTTTTTTTTTTAGCTTTTTTCAAAGTCCTGGACATGTGAAACAATATTACCTTTGATGCATTGTTTTTGATTCATTTTAATTTTTTCCATCATAATTTACTGTTGGTGGCTGATTTTTCCCTATTGACTTCCATTATAACCACAAAACTATGACACCATATAATCATGCATTTTTGATTGTTGGTGGTTTTCCCTATTGGGAAGAGGTCAAATTCGTAATTTTTACTGTTGATCATCAGTTGGCACCATTAACCCCTTAGATAGGCCTGTGCAAAAAAAAAAGCTTAGTTTCTGGATTTTATGGAGTATAACAGCCGATTAAAGCGTGTGTACATGTGTCTAGGAGAATGTGAGAATGACCTTTTCGCACTTACCTTGATGTGTCTGAGAAAATCAAAATATGCATCTCAGCTCTCAGAACTACATGGAGTAAACAAAAACAAAGATTGTGTATTCATGCACCATCAAATGTGGTTATAGTCAATAGGGCAAAAACAGCCACCAACAGTTAATTAGGGAGAAAAAAATGCCAAGGTTGTTACTAATCGTTCACATGTCCAAGACTGTTATAAAAGGTTAAAAATCCAGTCCACAATTACTTTTTTTATTGAAGCTATGTCATTTTTTGTGTGTTTTTTTTCCCACCAAATCAGTGACATCATTTGTGAACTTGGCAATCAAAGTTAAAATCCTGTACTTTTTTTTTTAAACAATTTAGTATTTTTGATCAGGAATGTTGATTAACAGATTTATGCAAAAAAAAGAAAAAAAAAGAAAAAAATAAATCTCATGCATTTTTATTGCAGTTTAATTCAGTGGATGTTTTCATCCCAAACGTAACAACAGCGTAGTAAATTTGAGCAGTGCACAAGGGTTAACACTGACGAGTTATGAAAATAAACAAAATAATTATAATCAGCAGTGAAGTGCACATTTAGCTAGCTCCTATTTGTCCTCCCATAGTGTTTTAACGTACTTTATACTGTCCCCTGATGGCCTAAATGAATTCAATTTCTGACAGCTAGATGCATGGGCTGTATTGCAGACTGTTTCATCACTCAAGCACTTGTTTAGACATTTTACTTGTGCCCATTCTCTATTAGACTTAGTAGGGAAAATCACATGCTTACTCTTCCATACCATCCCTGCATAAAGGAAGTGTATTATACCTAATATATAAAATTAACTTTGCCAACTGCAAGTGGGTCATGAGACGTCAACATGGGATTAATCTGCACAAGAATAAAGGCTCATTCACACGACAGCAAGATAACTATATTAGCATAGCATCCACTACAGCAGTCAATATCATCTTGTTTATAAGCATGCACTGTAGTTTTAATGTCTGTTGTTGTGACACCAGTGGTCATTAACTGAACTGCATCCAACAACTTATTGCTTGTGCTTGCTTCTCAGTTCCCCTATGCACTCAATGGTACTATAAATGTTCAGAGGAATGAATGATACATGTGTTGTGTGCTTTTTTCTCAAACATGGCAGTGGTGAGAAATCAGCCGTTCAGAAAGCACATGATCATGGTGATGCTCCTGCGCTGGCTTTATGTCAACAGATTAAGTCATTAAAATTACCCTTTTGATAGTTTCATTATAAAGTATTTGAGACTATAGACTACAGTAGGCATGGGATGATAACCGTTTTCAAGGTATACCGCGGTTCGGAAAGTCAAAGTTTTAAAACCGCCAAAGTTTTCTGTAATATCGTTTCTACGTTATATATAAGATTTTTTATTTACGTTTTTTTTAGGATAACAGTATGTCCAGCAGAAAATATATCCAAAGATGCCGTTTTAAATTGTAAAGGAATGTGTGTTTTTGAAACTAATGAAGACAAGCAGAAGTCAATGATTTATTTGAATTGTTTAGCCTGACATGTTTACTGCTCGAAAATATTTTAAGTTTCTCAAGATAATATATATTGTGTTCAAAGGGGAAAAAATGTTTCGTTTTTTTACCCAGACATTTAAAAAGAGCATATATTAGAGCAGTAATCACAGTACTGTGAAACTGTGGTATTATTATGCGAGTTATCATATACAGTCAGAAAGTTATACCGGCCATGACTGTAGTTTAAATAAATTCCTTTTATTTGCATGACACTGACATTACAGTACAGAGTGGTTCTTTTGGGATTTTTTTCTGACCAATGACCATATGTTCATGTTTTATTGAATGGAAGAGAGACTCTCGGGAACGGGTGTAAATGTCACATCCTGTTGATTTTCCTGGTTAAAAACATAGTCCCTAAAACAAAAATCATTCTACAAGTAGACATAGACAGACTAGAAAGCCAGGGAGGGTCTCATTTTTAGAAGTTTCATTACACGCTATTTATACATTGGCAATATTTCTTATTGATCATCCGCTAGTAAAACATAATCTTAAAGTGATTCCAGCAGGACATTAATTATCTGTGCTATCGTAGTTAAAGCTGCAGTGTGGACTTACTTTATGACTTTAAAACTCCCATCTCGCAAAGACCAATATAAGAGAACTACCTATGAGCAATTATTCAATATCAGTAACAAATGAACTGGTGTCTTGTAACTTATGGTAGGCTATACTTAATAGACATACACTTGACAATTAAAAAAATTCAAAGCACAGTGCAAAACAAACAGCAGCAGATGAGCGATAGTATGACCTGTCAAACAAGAAGCCTCTCATCATATTTACCTTCCATGACAATAGCAGGACATTCATGATAGCCAGCAGCGGGCACGGCCCGTTCTCGTTCTGTGTGATGATCGGAGTGTTCTCCTCCTTCCACTTTATCCACTTAATTTGGTAAAACGACTGACCGGTCACCCTGTCTTTGGGACAGGGGATTTTCGTCCCCTCGGCCCCGTATTCACTCTGAATAGCCAAAGCCAGTCCCTTCTCCTCCAGTCCTTCACTGTTGAGGTCTGAACTCGGACAGGAGTTCAGGTTGGAGAAGGACTCGAGTGAATCAAAGCTGCGGGACTCTCCCGCGATGCTGGGCTCACTCCCACTCGGGGGACCCTCGGAAACGGTGTGATCGTTTGAATTAGGGCTCGCAGATTTTGCTTTGTCCGGACACAAATAAGCAGGCTTGGACACCTTCGTCGCTTCTCCGTCTAAACCGTCCGCTTGCACATTATTGATGTCGGGTTTCTCTCCCGTGAGGTTGTTTACTAACTTTGAGGTGCCACCCTCCTTATTCCCAGCAGCGGTCACCGGCGACTCGTATCCCATTCCGTTGCTCAGCTGATCGGCCGCATCGGGCGACAGTGTCTCCGGTAAAACGCTGGTTTTACCGTGTGTGGTTTTGCTCACCGTCTCAGCAGCATCTGATGTCTGTGTGCAGGGTGTAGCATTAGCACCGCTAGCACTTGCACAAGTACTCAAAGTCTCTCTCTTCTCGCAGACATCTTTCATTCCGCCGGCTGTTTTGATATCTGCAGGCTCCGCGGGAATAGCGGTGCACAGGACACTTCCTCCTGCGTCTCGATGAGGGTTTGCATTCTTCTCCATTTCGCTGAACGCATCGACGACAACCTTTAACTAGATGGCAAGCTCCAGTCTCAGCTCCGACGACGCCATGACATCTCCACCTCTGACGTCATCCCTTCATGGACCCTTATTTACCGAGCCCGACTATTCACAACCACCGACTGTATGTCATTTTTACTAGCAACTTAAAGGGGTAGTTCGCCTAAACACCAGAATTATGTCATCGTTTCTTCAATGTGATGTAGTTCCAAACTTGTACGATTTTTGTGTTGTTTTACTTATATTATTAGAATAAACTATTCTGATTAGAATAAACTATTGTGAGAGGACAAATGTGGACTGAGTTTGTCATATATTCATTTCTTTCGGTGATGCACATAAAAGGTATGCAGGATTGTTGAAGAAAATAGTCATTCAAGCCTGTATGCAACCTTTGAAATAATGGTCGCCCTGTAACAACTTTAAAGAATTACTTTCTGTGAGCAAAGGTGTTGCTTTTCTTTTTCAGGCCATTTTTGGTCGTTAATTTGTTTTATTGTTTTCTTTATTTTGTATATTATGTATTATTTATATTCATGACATAATATTAAAATAAATGTGTAGATTTTTTTTATCCAGAATACTCTCACAAAAGTATGCACGCGATAGATTAATGTAATCTTTCGTAGATTTGTAATTTCTCCTCACATATTGTGGTCACGTGTGAAAGACAGTACGTTTTCATGGACATTGACGTGACATCACGCAGTGTATTCCATAATAAACCACAATAAACCCGTTTGGTAATGCTTATATTCACCGCACGGTGGCAGCATTGACCTAGTTTGGGTATTGTTTGTATCCTTGTGTTTGTGTTCATTGGGTATATTAGATCCCTGACGAGAGGTAAATCTGACAAAACCTTTAATTAGGAACGTTTTAATAGACGTTTTCTATGAAACCATGCCAACACATGTTTAATTTTTGGTTACAATGATTTAACTACAGTGACTATAGAGGTTTTATTTGGAGTAAAATCATTGTGACAACAAACTAACTGTGATTTTGAACTATTGAACTATAATATTTGTAGCATAACGGTGTTAAAACAAGTGGCTATGACACATTTACTATAATAAAACCATGGACAATTTTCGAGATGGTAGTTTATAAAAGTGTAAATGGTTTTTATTCAAAAAATTATTTTTGTCAGGGTTAGAAGTTTGGTTAGTCGAGATTAAAAGTAAAAAAAATACTGTAACAGTTGAAGTGGATGCAAGTTTGCATTTAGCTAAGGTTGAGTGAAATATAAACTACAAACTGTACCTTGATTTTCAGATTTAATATCTGAAAAAAATATCACCTTTATCTATGACAGAATTTATTCATTTATTTAATTATGTTGTTCATTCATTCATTCATTCATTCATGATTCATTTATACTAGAACTATACAGACACGTACACGCATTTAGCTGGAGAAAACAACTCAGAGAAACAACACCCAACTATTCTTTCAGTTTTAAATGTCAGTAATTGTCTTCTCTAATACAATTTATGTCATTAAGTCTAACAGAAGTCTCAACATTATATTGTCTTTCTGGCTGTTTTATGAGGCAGTGGGCGGGGTTTCCCCCTCTCTGCCTGCGCATGACGTCAGGCCGTTAGAGACAAGCGCGGAGCCGCAGCAGTCGTCACTCGCGCGCACACACATACACAAACGCTCATCAAGGGCGACTGCGCCTTTAAGACCCTCTAAACTAACAACCAAACCAGCCTCGGTGTCAATGTACGAGCGATGAATTTACTCGATATGGTTTTGTTTAAACTCCTGATATTGTTATACTGCTTAAGCGACTCTAACGGTAAGTGGGTTTTGCTTTAGTTTCTGGAAAAAGTGACGGTTAATCGGATTGTGCTTTAGCTGAAGCTAGTACGGGAGGGGTGAACATAGAGAGTGCGGAAGTGAAAGCAAACAGTAAAAATAAACAACTTATATTGTAAAACACGTGGAATTTGTGGTTTATTCGTGTTAGAGTATTATCAGTGAACAGCGTGGTGAGGTATTTTCGTACTGACTTTGAGTGGGACGTTTCAGAGGAATGACAATATATGTTTAGCTAACGTTAACTGTCAAAGGCAGCCTGGCTAGCTAACTTAACTGGAGTAGAGAAAGACCGATGAGAAATGAATTCAATTTGTACTTGTTTGCATGTCTAATGTGGTATTTTTGAAGTGCGATGTCGAGTTCGTAGTGTTTGTGAGTTAATGTCTGAAAATACACGAGGACGAAATTAAAACTACACGCCTTTCCTGTAATCACTCACACGCAGGAGTCGGGTGGTGTTTTTACTTGACTAACGTTAACGTTAGTTCACAAGTCTTATACAGACGTAATTTTAATGAAAATACAGATTTTCTTATCAAAAATGTCTCAGAAGTTAATACAAAAGTCTAAAAACCTTCACTTTCTATCATGTGTTGTTCACTGTTTGAGTTTGGTTTTGGTCTGTGGTCTAGTTATAATAACATTGTTTACCAACAATAGAAGTCTATTGTACGCCTCCCCTTTAGCTACTTGTGTAGCCTTGGCTGTGTGTTGCTGCCGCACACAGACGTTGAAATTACTTTTCAACGTAAATTGTTATACGCTTCCAGTAAATTCAGATTTTTGCTGAAACTGTGTGCCCTTGCTGTCAGACAGGAAGTGATGACGTTTCAGTAGTACTTATATGTCATTCTGTTTGTGTTAAATTCATTTGTCCTATTTAGCTGTCTGGCTGTTCGAAACAAGGCTATATTCCAAAGAAGAACAGAACCAAGGCGTTTGTTTTTGTGTATTTGTATTGTGTATTTTTTTAGTATTTATATTTGAGCAATTCCTCAAAAAGAAAAAAAAGTTTTCTCCAAAATAATGAAACCCTTTGTACGTTTTTCATGTAGGCTTGTAGTTTACAGTACTTTAAATTACTCAAAAGTGTCTCTGTCAATGTTTTCAAACAATTATATTTGATTTACCAAAGTCATACAAGTGCCAATTTCACATTCGTCACATCCAAAACGGAGATATGTCACATCCATAACGAAGTTTTACTTCATAAATGCAAAAATGTTAAATAAAATTCCAATAATTTTTGTTCTATAGAGAAGCAAATTTCATTCACAGAATTGCTACTAAGTATTTTTGATACTCTGAACTCGTAAACCTTTTGGTCACATCCATAACGCATGTTTGTTTTCCTCATTTAAAATATTAAAAATGTTTACAGATTGATATTTTTCTAATCCCATAACTTTATGGTAATTGTTTTGGTAAATGTAAACTGATATTTCAGTATAATGTTATCATAAACTTTTAATGTGAATTTATGTTTTAAATTTTTACTGCAAATGTCACATCCATAACTTTGGCATTGCTCATCATTATATAAACATATTTTCACTTTTAACTAAGAGTTTTCTCTAAATAAACTTACGATTATGTTTCACTGATAATCAGGAACTTGTGCTAGATGTATTTGTAGTTATTATTAGTAATGCAATTAATAATGCTTATAAGTATCTGTTAATAATGAATATGTGTTTCCTAAAGCGTTACTTACTGTATTTCATATTGACTTCATTCCAGAATTAAATTCTATGCATACTAGGCATGGGCCGGTATAAGATTCTGACGGTATGATAACCTTGAAGAAAATTTTGGCGGTTTTAAAACCTTGACTTTTTTTCCAAATCGTGGCATACCTTGAAAATGGTTCTCATCCTATGCCTAATGCATACCATCATTAGTCCGTTTTCTAGACAGAACAGCTTTATTCTGTGACGTGTTTTGGCCTGGCTGTGTTTGTTGCTATGGGATTCAATGGTTTCTTATGTATTTGGTGTTCATCTAGCTGTTGTTGCCCAGGGCAAAAGACACACTGCTACCATTTTCCCCCCTTGTTGTCACTAATTGCATGGATCTCAGCAGTGTCTCACATTCTCAGCCTCAATCTCAAATCTCTTTGAGAATTCTTGTTTTCTTACATCGGCTTAAGTTGAAATATGTAATGGTTAATTGCCAGATTCTGGACTGTTGGTTATGTGGCTATGATGGGAGACCAAGTTTCATTTAATAGCAATATTGAGACTTTGCTTTTTGTTTCTGTAGTGAGAAATGCAATATAGCTTTTAAACAATTTAGGTCGATTGAAGTTCAGTGTAGGATTTCTGTGCATCTGCATGTAATTTTGATTGAGTAATGTTTATTTGCTTTTGTTGAGTTGGCTTTCTGTTGCCTGTTAGGCCGATTTTAATATTATTGAAATCAACTGGCATAATATGAGGCTGTAATAGGCAAGACCTGGAAGTATTGAGAATACCTGCACACCATGGAACCTTCATCGGCTCATCAGTGTTGTTTTGTCTGGCTGATAATTATTTTATAATGAAAAGATTAATTAAGGATTTAATCGATCCACTTCAGATGTGTACTGCTGCTGGGGGTTTTAAAAAATATAAAGTTATAATGTGAGTTTAGATTAGATTGCATGCAAGTAGTAGATTACATACAAATTCAGTGCTAAACAGCATGAATGGCACAAAATGTGTAATGTGTTTGCTGCGAATGTGTAGTATTCCCCTTGAATGCAAAAAAAAAATCTACTTGAGCAGAAAGATTCACAAGCAGGAAAGCAAATCGCGAGTAATCTACACTGTAAAAAATGTTAACAGTTTCGAATTTTGTGATTCTGTTAATTTACGATTGTGAAATGCATTAATGTAAAAGTGAAAGTGAAAGTTCCCGAATGTGTTCCTGATATCAAGGATGCATCGCTGCAGACTTGAGCGCAAAACTTGCTCGAAGTCCCAGAAGTTAATGTGACTGGAGGTGAGAAGCACAGCATTTTTCTGTAGATTTATTATTAAAGTTCAGAGATATAACTTATTTATCTCAGGATCCCTAAATGAGAAAGTGAAAGTAAACATTACCATGAAAATCTTAATACATGCATAAAAATATTAACGGTGTTTATTTGTTGAAATTTATATTAAAACAGTTTTATTTGTATTGTGCAACATATATGTGTAAGGTCTTTATGCAGAGTATGCATTGTGAAAGGGGGAAAAATAACAAATCATTGTATGAATGCTGTAATGTTGAAATAATGTTCTGTTAAAAACGCTCGAAGGTCATGTGACCATGAGGAAGACCAGGAAAGAACACAGCTTCTCATTTCTAACAGGACACATTCTTTGTTCTCGTGGCCTCACCAGTTCGTTTTTCCGAGGTAACTTGGCAAGACTGGTCTCCACAAGAACGCAAGTCCCTTTCTTAGCGTTTTTGGAATTGAGAAACAGCCTCCATGCCACTTTAA